GACTTGTTGGCCTCGCGCCGCTCGCGCTTGCGCAGCACGTCCTCCGCCTGCTTTTCCCGCCGCTGCGCCTTGAGCCGCAGCTTCTCCTCCTTGGCGGCCAGGATGGCCTGCAGCTCCTCCTCCGTCTTGTGCACTGCCAGGGGGAGGGACGGGCTTACGGGGCGTCCCCGCGGCGGGGCGCCGCTCCCCGCCGGGCCCCCCAAGCCCGCCGCGCCTCACCGAAACTGTGGAACAGCACATTGCCCGCGCCCACGCCCTCCTGGATCTTCATGAGCTGCAGGGTCATCCGGGGACCGATCTGGGGGGACAGGAAAATCAGTCCTCATGCAAGGCTGGGGGGCAGCGGGGGGCCAGCCCCCCCTCACCTCCGTGAGGCGCACGGCGCTCTGCTGGGCGCGCATGTTGCCGCGGCCCGCGATGGCCTGGGGCAGCTCCGTGACGTTGTGCTCCCCGTCGGGCTCCGCCTCACTTTCCGACAGCCCAGCACCTCTGGGGGGGGGGGGGGGACAGGCAGGACTCTGAGCCGGGCGACCCCGGAGCTGGAGCCCCGCACCGCAGCCCCGCGGCCTGCCCTGCTCACGTGGCCAGCAGCTCGCTGATGTCCTGCAGGCGGCTCATGTTGGGGAACTTCTCCTGCAGCAGCTTCTTCATCCCGCGGCTGGCGCCCACCGGGACCACTTTGATGCTGCTGCAGGGGGGAGGGGGGCGGGTCAGGGCGGCGATCAGAGGGCATGGCAGACCCCCCCCACACTCCTGTCCCCCCTCCCCACAGTGCGTCAGCGCGTTTACTTTGAGGCTGAGCCATCACGAGGTCTCAGCAGCATCAACGTCATCAGCCGCACACCCGGGCCGACCGCACCCCTGCCCCCCCCCAGCAGCACTCACTAATGGCGGAAGTCCAGCTCCTGCGAGTCAGGGTTGTAGTTGATGAGCAGGCAACGCTTGATGGTGTTCAGGTTCACCTGCCAGGGAAAGGCGGCAGGGCCACGTGAACCAGGGTCAATCAAGCACACACCGGTGAGGGTTCACAGGCCGGGGGGGAGGGGGGGGAGGCCTCTGCGGGCAGTGCCCACTGGTTCTGCACTTTACCAAGGACGCACAGATCAGATTTCTACCAAGCCCCAGCTCGTTACACAGCTAACCCAACACCCACAATGCCATGGGGTGGAAGGTGGGGCTCCTGACTTCATCACTTGGTAAGAAGCCTCTGAGCTCAAAGCTGGACTGGGTTACACAACCCAGCCTCAAAACAAAAACAAAAAACAAGCTCAGTTGGAACCTGGTAGCGCACGCCTCTAATCTTAGCTACTCAGGAAAATGAGATCTGAGGATCACGGTTCAAAGCCAGCCCGGGCAGGAAAGTCCGTGAGATTTTTTTTTTGGGGGGGGGTGTCCGGAAGTGGGGCCTGAACTCTGGGCCTGGGTGCAATCCCTCAGCTCTTCAGCTCAAGGCTAGTGCTCTATCACTTGAGCCACAGCGCCACTTCCGGCTTTTTTTCTTTTTGCTTATGTGGTGCTGGGGAATCGAACCCAGGGCCTCAGGCATGCAAGGCAAGCGCTCTACCACTGAGCCACTGTCCCAGCCCCTCCGTGAGACCTGATACCTCCACCCCACCCTGTGCCCACAAGATGCCTGACCCACCTTGTGCACGTTGATGGAGGGGAACAGGTTCTGGAACATGGTGGCCATGAGCTTCACATGCATGCCGTGGGGGCCGAAGCTGTTGAGGACCAGGAGGGGCGGGTGGGCAAACTGCTGCTCGTGCATGCGGTGCCGGCGCAGCGAGGAGACCACGTCACGCACCAGCGTGTACTGCAGGGCAAGGAGGTGAGTAGGTGACCTGGGCCTAGGGCTGTGTCCCCAAGCCCTCCTCTCCCCCACTGCTGCTCCTTACCTTATTGACCTGGAAAGTCAGGGTTGGGCCTCCAGGAAGGCGCATCAGCTTCTGCAGGAAAACAGGGGGTGAGTAATGTGGCAGGATCCAGCCGGGTGGCAGGGGCCTGGGCTGTGGGACCACTGTCCCATCTCTTCAGAGCGTTTACTTTGAAGCCAGAATCATGGCAGCTCAGAGGCATAGGGGTTCATCATGAGAGATGGGAGGAGGCCGCCTGGGGATGGGGGCTGAGGGGTTGGGGGGAGGAGTTAGTGAGGAAACAAAACATGAAGAGGGCCCGCTCACAAAGTATACGCTGGTGTCCGTTTTGCTCAAAATCAGGAAGTGTGTGACCCCCAGGGGCCCGGCCACTGCCACACAGTCCTTCAGGGAATTTTTCTTGCGAACCTACACGTTGTTAAAAAAAAAAAAAGGGAAAGGGATCAATACTGAACAGATCCCACATCGGGCAGAGGTCATTGCAGATGGGAATCACGACACTCCGGGTCTCCTGAGTAACGAATAACATTGAGCCGCGGGGGGGCGGGCTCCAGGTTCCTTCCTGGGAGAGAACTTCGTAGCGCGCGTGAAGCAGATCCCAGGCTGGACGCAGGGAGGGAGCCATCCCGGGGCCCGTCTCCCCGGGGTCCCTCTCCCCGCGGCCCGTGGCCCCTCTCCCCGGGATCCCTCTCCCCGGGGCGCACACACCTGCAGGCGGCTGGCGGTGAGCGGCTCCACGACGCGCCGCAGGTCCAGGCTGAGCTGCCGCACGCTGCGGCCCGCGCGGCCCCGGGTGAACACGAACGAGTGCGGCTGCGCGGCGTAGGCCTCGAGGTTGCGCTGCTGCGCCTGCGCGCGCGCGCGCTTCTGGTGCCGGGACTGCGGAGACGGACAGAGCCGGGGGGCCAGCCGCAGGGTGAGCCGCCGGGGACCCCGCCGCCACGCGCCCTCCTCGCAGCCCGGGAGCCCGCACTCACCTTCCCCGACTGCCCCATGCTGCCTTCTCCTCCACGAGGTCGCTTCTGCGGCCGTTTCCGGCGCTGGGAGGCTCACTTCCGGCGTCCTTCCGGTGACGTCACCGCGCGCGCGATTGCGGGGCGGGGGGGGGAAGGAGGGAAATCGATGGGACGCGTTGCTATGGAGATGGTGGGCGTGCCTGTTTCTAAGGAAACCGGGGCGGGGCTCTGCTGCCAGAGACGGTCAGAGAATCTGGTACACGGGTTCGAATCCCTCCTCTGTCCATGTCCTCCAGCTCTACTATTGAAAAACTTTTTTAGTTTTTGGCCAATTCAGGGCTTGAACCAAGAGCCTGGGCACGGTCCTTGAACCTGTGTGTGCTCAAGGTTAGTGCTCTACCATTTGAGCCATAGCACCCCTTCCAGGGTTGTTGTTGTTGTTGTTTTGAGTGGTTCATTGGGGATCAGAGTCTCACAAGAGCTTTTTCTGCCCGGGCTGGCTTTGAGGAGGGTCCGGTTGTGGTCCTGAACTCTGGGTCTGGGCGCTGTCCCTCAGCTCTTCAGCTCAAGGCTAGCGCTCTACCACTTGAGCCACAGCGCCTGGCTTTTTCTGCTTATGTGGTGCTGAGGAATCGAACCCAGGGCCTCATGCATGCAAGGCAAGCGCTCTACCACTGAGCCACCTTCCCAGGCTCCCCCCGCCTCCCCAGGGCTGGCTTTGAACCATGATCCTCAGACCTCAGCCTCCTGGGTAGCTAGGACTATAGGCCTGAGTCACTGGCTCCCAGCTGAAACTTTTTTTTAACCTGCTAAATTTTTATTTTTCCTGATGAAACTCCCACTGTCACTCTTACTAACAGCTCCACACTCCCACCCCAAAACAATTTCAACAGGCCTGACGTCCTATTTTCTTTTCTGGTTTTTTTTTGGGGGGCCTGGGCGCTGTCCCTCAGCTCTTCAGCTCAAGGCTAGCACTACCACTTGAGCCACAGCGCCACTTCTGGCTTTTTTTCTTTTTGCTTATGTGGTGCTGAGGAATCGAACCCAGGGCCTCAGGCATGCAAGGCAAGTGCTCTACCACTGAGCCACCTTCCCAGCCCCCTCACATCCTATTTTCATGTCATATTCATTCCCATACCTCATTGCTAGCTCCGCCCTCCAGCCTATTTTACGTTGTCATTCTGTATGTGTATGTGTGCGTGTGCATGCACTATCTCCTGTCCTTGAACTTTTTGTTCTTTTTTTCCCTTTTTTTTTTCGTTCCTTCTTTCTTTTTTTCTTTTTCTGATCAAGGCTAGTTAGTACTCTACCACTTGAGAAACACCTCTGCTTCTGGGTTTTTGGTGGTTAAAGATTGGTCTCAGTGGCGCTGTGGTTCAAAGTGGTAGAGAACTGGCCTTCAGCAAAGACAGCTCTGGGACACGGCCCAGGCCCTGAGTTCAAGCCCCATGACCAAAAAGATAATAAAAAATAAAAATAGTAGATGTATGAACCAGTACCGGTGGCTCATGCCTGTAAATCCTAGGTACTCAGGAAACTGAGATCTGAGAATCAAAGTTTGAAACCAGCCCAGGCAGGAAAGTACCTGAGATTCTTATCTCTAAACATATAAAAACTGGAAGTGATAAGGGCTGAAAGTGGTAGTGTATTAGCCTTAAGCTTTTGAAAAAGCTCAGGGACAGTGCCCAGGCCCTGAGTTCACGCCCCAGGACCAACAACAACAAAAATAGTCTCATAAACTTTCCCGCCCCGACTGGCTTTGACTTGTGATCCTTAGATCTCAGCCTCCTGAGTAGTTAGGATTACAGGTGTGAGCTACCAACCAGCTCCATCACTTTTTTTTTTTTGTCACAGGTCTTGAACTCAGGGCTTGGTTGCTGTCCCTGAGCTTTTTCACTCAAGGCTAGTGCTCTATGACTAAGCCACAGCACCACTTCTGGTTTTCTGGTGGTTAATTGGAGATAAGAGTCTCGTGGACTTTCCTGGCTGAGCTGGCTTTGTACTGTGATCCTTAGATCTCAGCCTCTGTGTAGCTAGGATTTCTATTATTATTATTATTAGTAGTAGTCAGTCGTTGGCCTGAACTCTGGGCCTGGGCTCTATCCCTCAGTTCTTCAGCTCAAGGTGAGCGCTATACCATTTGAGCCACACACAGTGTCACTTCCAGCTTTTTCTGCTTTCTGTGGTGTTGAGGAATCCCACCCAGGGCCTCAAGCATGCGAGGCCAGCATTCTACCACTGAGCCACTTTCCTGGCTCCTATATTATTTTTTGTAAGTGCCCACTGCACCAAGGTTTTTTACATCCCATTTCAGATATGCATGTACCGTATTTCCCGCAGAAATAACCTACCCAGTTCTCTCTGTCTCTGAGATGACGCCTCTCTAGTAGCTTGTACTGGCTTGGCTTTGAATATGAACTCACCATCCTTCTGCCTCTGCTTCTGCCGTTTTGTGGCTTGGAGGCTGATAACGAAACCCATATCGTGGGGGTGTCCCCATGCCTTTATTTATTCACAAACAAAGAGACCTAAAGGCAATGCTCAATGCAGACAGATACAGACCAGACGGGGCCTGAAGCCATTGCCTCTTTTTCCTCTTCTGTCCAGGGCCCTGTCTGTCCATGAGGCGAGACATGGAAAGTCCACATCACCTCCTGGCAACTCTGGGCAAGCCAGACATTCGGTGAATAACTCACCTCCTCCTTCTTTCCACTCCAAGCCCCTGACTTGGCCTCAAGATGCTTGGCTTCCTCCCCAAAACCTTGTGGTGGGGGGGAGGAGGAGAGGGGGGACACCCCTCGCTGGGTTGAACATCTTTATCCCCTCCCACCAGTCCCCCCTCCACCATGCATTCTCCCCAATTCCCTCCCCTCTCCTCCAGTTCTACCTCTCTGCCCCCTCCCTGTCTGAAACTCCCCCCTCCCCAATTTCACCCATCATCCTTTTCATCTGCTGCAAACTGACATGGTCTTCTGGTCCCTGTCCCCATCCACCCAGCTCCCAGGCTCTCCTGGCAGATCTCTCTCTATGTCCCCCTATCTCTCTGCCAATGAGGAAGCCGGAGGGGGCTGGGAAGGGGGCTGAAGGGAGGGAGGCCCGCCTCAGGCCTGAAGCCCAGCCTGGCAGCCTTTCTCCCTTCAAATCCGGGACGACCATTTCCTCTCTGAGCCCTGGAGTGCACTCGGGTTACTCCCCAGTTCAAGACGGTGGAAAGGAGGAGGAAGGACTAGCGCCTGAGCTCAGCAGCTCCTCACACAGGTTGGGGAACCTGGCTTTGTTTGGCCTTGGGGACGGGGTGGGGGGCGAGGGGTTCTGCATGATCGGTGAGAAATGGGCCGCAGGGGTCTTCCTTCCTGTTCCGTCCCTGTGGGCTGAGCCTGGTGGGACTATGTGGCCGGGTGTGTGAAAGAAAGATATCTGCAACAAGCAGCCAGGGGCTGATGGGTGTTGCTCGGTGTGTGGATCACTGATCGTAAGTGTGCAACACAGATCTAGACGCTCAAACCGTGGAGTATCTCCAAGTTGGACTCCGTGTGTGTGTGTGTGTGTGTGTGTGTGGTATTTTTCTCTTAAATATTGAAGTGTCGTATGGAGGGGTTGCCGTGATATTCTGCATTGCTCCTGAATGCGTATCACGCTTCCGTTTGTGTGTGGGGGAGGGAAGGGGTTTGCTGGGTATAGATGCCAGAGGCCTGCAACAACTCTTCTTGGAGCCACGCCCCTACCTTCAAGCCACGCCCCACTAGGGAGCCACGCCCACCCCAGTCCTTTGCCCCACCAAGTAGCTGCACCTCCTACTCTAACCCCGCCCCTACCTCCAAGCCCCGCCCCATGCCCCGCCCACTCTGTTTTTGTGCCCATGTGACCACACCTCCTATTACTTTAGCCCTGCCCTGCATCTGAGCCGGGCCCACCCCCTGTCCCATGTCCTATCACATAGCTGCACCTACGATTTTAGCCACGCCCACCCATGAACCACGCCCACCCCGTTCTATACTTGCAGCTACATCTCTTACTTGAGCCACGCCCACTTCTGCTTTCTGCCCACCAGGTAGCCACACCTCCCCTCCTTTGAGCCACGCCCCGTTTTGGGCCACGCCCCTACCATCAGTCCCCTCCCCTCCTGATCTATGCCCCCCATGTAGGTGTACCGCCTACTACCTTAGCCACGCCCCAGTTCCAAGCCACACCCACCCTGTTCTACGCCTCACCAGGAAGCTGCGTCAGCTCTAGCCACGCCCCACATTTGAGCCCCACCCTTCCCAAGCCACACCCACACCAGCTCGGGCTCCTCCACTACTTTTGCCCTGCTTCTCCATCTAGCCTCACCCCTACCACTGAGCCCTGCGTGCAACCTCCTGAATGTGTCTTCCTGTCTGTTACTTTGTGCATTCAGGAGCCAAGCTCCCTGGAATGAATTCTGTCACCTCTTTTTCTGTCTGTGTGACCCATAGGCAAGTCATTCACCCTCTCTGAGCTTTAGTTATGAAAAAAGGTGTACAGGTTACTGCGACCTGCCACCCAGCAGGTGCCTGGTGAAGGTCCCCATCGCTGGTCCCCCTGTGTGTGCTGTGGGTGTGGGGGAGTCTGGGCTCCGAACTGCCTGATTCTCTGTCCTCTGCTAGGAGGAAAAGAAGCGAAAGCGGCATCGGGGCAGTGACCTGTCTTATCAGGCTCTGGAGCCCTGGGTTGGGAGTCTGGCAGCTGGGCCTCAGTTCTCATGGAGGAAATGCTAAATATTTACAATTGCTGCGCTGGGTTGGGGGTGGGGGGTTCTCAGCCCTCTCCCTCCTTCTCTCTTACCCGCCTCAGCCAGTCCCCAGCTCAGAGGTCCTCCTGGACCCTCCGCTCTTCCTGGGACTTCCTGCGTCTGCAGAGAACCTCGCTGGATCATGGCGGGTCTCGGTGGTGAGAGGTGAGGGAGAGGGGCCCAGGAGGAGGTGAGGGGAAGATCCCTGATCCTGGCAGGCCGCGTGAGTTTGAATGTGGCAACATCTGGGGCTGGGGCTGATGGGTGCATGCGAATTCCAAGTGCCAGGAAGCATAGACAGGGGGGCCGGGCATAGTGGTGCATGCCTGTAGCCACAGCCACACCATCAGGAAGCAGAGGCAAGAGGATCTTGAGTTCCAGGACAGTCTGGGGGGGGGTTCCCATCGTGAGACCCCCCCATCTCAAATATAAAAAGATAAGCTCTTCCGTGGCTTGTGGGAGGCCCTGCGTCCCATCCGTCAGAAAATAAATGTCTAGGGAGAATGTTCCAGACTCAGGAAACCAACAAAGGTCAGCATTTGCCTGGGAAGGCAGAGCCAGCGGACCAGGCCAACACGGGCACCAGAAGGTTCTGAGCAGAGGGGTGTGCGGGGCCTTAGAGGTGCTCACAGGCGGCCGGGCGGCTATGGCGGTGGCGGTGGGGACTAGGCCGAGGTTGCGGTCAGAAGGCTGGAAACCAGGGAGGCATTAGCTGTAAGGAGATCCGGATGGTGCCTGGAGCAAGGGAGAGAGAGAGGGAGGGGTGGGGTGGGGGAAGAGGGGGGGGA